CACCTCCAGATGCAGGAAGAGAGCCACCTGCATCATGAAGGACCCCACTCACCCAGCACACACACATTTTGCCCCGCTCCCCTCAGGCAGGAAGTTGAGGAGCATTAAGTGTAGAACCACTAGACTGAGGAACAGCTTCTACCCTGAGGCTGTTAGACTCATGAATCTCTAACCAGAGTAATCACTGTAATGCCACTTTATTTGGTGATATGTGACTTATTTGTGTGGCTGATTATCCATACTGCTGATCTCATGCTGCTGATTATCTTATGCATTCAGCATTTGTTTTGCATATATCTTAGTATATAGCTTAGATCCTTATTTACTGTTTCTTTTTATACTTTATATTTCACTATTTTGGGGTGTAACTGGGACCCTGTGTCTGTGTCCTCATTCATGCATCGCTCTACTACATCCCTATAAAACTAATCTAACAAATCATTCTATAGACACTAATCAGTGCTTTAGATCACATCCATACACCGATGAGACACACATCAGAGGCAAAGAGGGCTTCAGTGTTTTGCCCAGGGACAATTCAGCATATGACTGCTGGTGGAATTAAACCCCAACTCTCCCATTGGAGGGTGTTCACTCTAACCACTCAGCCACAGCTGCACAAATGTATGTACTGTATGTAATATTTCATGAGAGACATTCATACATTTATAAAATCCTGAGATTTTTCAGAAGACAAAGTTCAGTCACCTTTTGGTTTATTGCATCTGCTTTGCTTACATTTTCACGTCTTACATCTCACCTAAAAGGCATGCGGATGTTCATGAGTTCTGCATAGCGACAGAGGACATCCCATGGTGCGTGAAGCTTGAGGAAGATCACATCACTGTTTGTTAAACATGCCTGTAAAGAAGACAAAAACACACAAACACAATTTTAGCAAGCAACACGAAGCACAATGTCATGCAAGCTGTTCAGCATCAATATGTTTTCTTGAATATTCTCTTCTCACATCCCACTGCTGATAACACAGTGGGAGTTTGTTATAAAAATCTAAAAAATTAAAAGCAATCCAAGAACAGACCTAGAAATAACTAAATGACTCCATGTAAAAAACACCCACAAATGGACTAGAAGTTAAAAGAAATATCATTCATTGTCTTCTCTCAATTTTTAAATTAATCCTCATATTGATGCTACAGCATCAGAGAATACTCAAGATAATTCAGATCAGCAAACATTCACATCTTTATTCATATCCTTGAGTTGAACTAGAAGCAACAGAAAAAAAAATTGCTTTTCAATAGTCAGAACCAGCAGAAAAGATCTAAGCTGTGAATAGTTGGTAAGGATCCATTTTTAGGCTCAACCTCATCATGATTTCATGTGTTTAATTAGCTTGAGACATCAAAACACCTTACAACAATCACAACCAGTTAACATTGTGCAATGGCCAAATGGGGCTAACTAATGCTTTAGTTGCATTCACAGGGTTAACAAATCATGTATCAGCTCCATTAGTCACCGTGGTTGGCTTTGCGCTTATTGTTCTGCGTTTTCTTCAAGTCCTTAGAGGTTAAAATTAAAGAATTGATCTAAAATTAAAAGCACTGAGCAATATCAAATGACAGTTTAAAAGAGGTTACTTCAGTAGTTTATCTCTGGCCTAAAATGCTGAACACACATCTAAACTGACGAGTGTGATGCTCCTGCTTCAAGAATGTTTTAATACATCTTATAGTTTTTGCACAGTGACTGAGGCCTAAAATCCAACACCCACCTATTTTTATACTACAGATCCAGCAAAATATGTTAAAGTTGAGACTTAACAAATATATATTTATGTTCTGTGGAAAATGTTGAAAAATAACGCAAACCCATTTAAAAAATGTAGTATTTGCGAGATTTCAAGCTGTTGCAACTTTCGAAACAGCACTTTCACTTTTATATATGGATTGTGATGTCATGCCAGGGACCCAATCTCACAAGACCGCTAGATTTTTATTGCAAGGCTGGAGGCAGCGGCAAAGAAGAGAAGTCTCGTGCATAAGTGATTTGTCAAGTGCCAAAATATCTACAGGAAGAAGAAGAAAAAGACACCAAAGTTGAAGGATGTTTGGCGGCGATAGAAACACATGGAGAGCAGAAGTGAGTAATGAGATCTGAGATCTGAGATTTATGAGATTTAGCATGTTTGGACTGTATAGTTACGGTTTAGTGTAATGTGTTTAGTGTAGTCAGTTTTAGTGTGTTTGATTCAACAAATGAGGCTGCAGCTTCTGTATGAGGTGGGGGATAGAGCCACAGACCCAGAAATGTATGGATTGCCATAGTCCAAACCTTTTCAGACAGAAGAGGCAGAGATAAAAAAGAACGTATGGGACAGAGTGAGGACTTTGACAATGAAGTGGGAGATGCATTATTTGTTTTAGATGAAGAAAGAGAGGCAGAATGCACCAAGCACCACACTCCTGTCTGTGAATACACACTCCTTCTTGTGCCCAATCCCTGCCGTGATGTCATCAGCCTTTGGTAACCATTCTCCATGTGCTCGAGTGTTTTCTTGGCTGGTTTGTTTGTTTACGTTTTTTTTTTAACACTGGCATGACCCAAATGCCAAAAAACTATAACCATCATATTCTTTGACAGTGATTACCCCTGAAGAGCACTTGGGACTATAATGATGGTGTTGGACATTAACTTCTTCTCCATGTGAAGATGCTAATAATTTGCTTTATTAACGCTGTTATCAACCACAACAGGTGCCAGTTTCCATGAAGAAGTTTGATTAACCTCACTCTGTGAGATTATAAGGAAGCTGACTGACTGGAACTAGCACTCAAAAAGTCCCTTAATGAATATAAGTTCTTTACCTCTTTTTCCATGTGTAAGCCCTCTGCACGGATGTTTCGCTCAAATACCTCCCTCTTCTCTGACTGGGAGCTGGACTTCTTGTAAACTAGGATGTAGTCTATGTGGCTCTTTCCATCGCTGAAACAAAGACCACTGAATTTACCCTTTTCCTGTAGACAAAGAGTAAGAAAAGGGTAGTAACATAAATCTAGTTTGAAAAGAGCCATTGATAATTAAAGAGTTCCACTGACCTCTGGGATTCCTGATTCAGACTTGGTGTTCTCATCAAGGATGCTGCTGTGGGTTCCAGGGTTCAGTAGGGTGGAGTCATCGTCCCTTGAAGAACTGCTGATGCCCTCTGACTTTTCCTTCTCCAGCAGCACCTTCAGATCTTTCACAGCTGAGGGAGAATCAAATAAAATTTCAATGTTTGAAAATATGACAACCACAGAATACCTTAAGTCTTATCTCATGGTTGTATTTTTGTCCATTTCATAAATGTCCATGTCAAGTACAAAGTTGACACATTTTCATTTGCTCAAATGCTGTACCTGCCTCACAGTTGTAATGCTTTTTCCTACCAGATAAGTAGACGTTTATATTTAATACACCTTCAGCCCCGGAGCTATTGTTTAAATGAGGGGAAAAGTAAATTGGAAGAAAAAAAAAATCCTCATATTGATGTTGACATTTTCTGTTTTGGACTTAATTTGGTCCACATGCAGACCAATGATTGGTGTGTAATGATTAGATTTGCAAGGAACTGCCATGTCTAGAACAGACACTAGAGGTCATAAGTGGTGGCATCATGAGTAGAGCAATAGTTTTAAAAAAGTGAGTGAGTGAGTGAGTGAGTGAGTGAGTGAGTGAGTGAGTGAGT